ATAGGTGCAGAGATAAAATTGCTTAGACTATTCCTCTGAGGTTTTTTGTTTTCTCATCGCTTTCTAAGTGTATGTTGCTTCTCTAGCAATTTCAGAAATCTCAAACTGAATAGTCGACAATTTGAATCTCTCTTAAAATTTATTAATGTTGGTACCTAGTATCAACAGATATTAGCTGTTGGCAGACTGCAATCATCCTTTCTCTTCATCTTTCTATTTTACAGCTACATGTGGGAAGAATGCATGAGAGGGTTTCTGTATCACCTGTTGTAGGTTATTTTGATTGTCGAGAATTCATTATTCTCAAGCATGTGTAAATAATTGTACCATATAGGACACAAAATTATTCTAACATGTTAAAGAATATGCAAATACCTTTGCACAAATAAATTCTCTTGTGCTGATGACTTTTTTGTACTCTCATGGCAAAAGTTGATTGTGTTCTATCTTTTCTTATTTTTTCGAAGCACCAGATTGCCTGTAACCATTTTTTGTAGTATTTGCATTAATTCTGCAACTCTATAACAGTAGAGCAGCTCTAGTAGTGCTCATACTTGTAGAAGCTTGAAATCGCTGAGAATCAGTTGTGTTAGGTAAGTACTTGAGAAGTCATGTCTTTCAAGTTTTAGCAAAGTCCCAATAAGGGAAGTTTCCACTTGATAGATAATATATAACTCTGTCCTGCACTTGGGACTACAAGTCCTGCAGACATCCTGCAGTACCCGAGTTAGTGGGGTAGCAGCAGTCTCTATGTATCACAAACATGCAGTTAGACCAGGATGTATCAAACGGTGAGTTTCACTGTGGTATTCGCAAGTAACTTAGGCATGTGGGTTTTGTAACTTTTTATTTGTATTAAAAGGAAATGGTTTAGAAGCCTACTGTGTTAAAAGGCTGTGGTCTAACTGTCCTCAGTTAATCACCATTCTCATCACAGCCCACCTCCTCTGAACCAGTTGTGACTGGTTCAGTTTATAGGGTTTTTCCACTACGTAACCAAACCTTCCTGTAAACAAATGCCCCAGCACCCAGAAGCCTTAAAAATCGACTTTTCCTCTTATTTGAGCTAAATAAATAAGAATGAAAATCTTAGTAGGAGCAGTTTATGTTTGTATAAACAAACTTAAGGGACATGTGAGCTGTTGGAAGGTGTAAAACCTGCAACCAAGCATTTGAAAGACCCCTGAAACTGAGAAGTGATGGTTTAAAGTTGTATGTAGGCAAGGGGTTTGCTGTATTTTCTTTCTGTTTTCTGAACTGCATGGACAATATCTTTCAGTTTTGTGTAGGAGACACAAAGAGTGGATTTGGGGATTATATAATGAGAGATCTTGGTTTCCTTAATGCAGTCAAACATTTGTCTAGCAGAGACAGAGAAAATCCATGTAATATCCAGGTAAAATCCATGATGGTACTGAAATCTGCAGTTACTGCATTCCAAAATTAATTTTGTAGCTGTTTTTGGGGTTTATTTACATTTTGATTAAAACCAAACCTTAATAAATAATAGCATGAGATCCCAGGTATTTCTCAAGAGTTTGACTGAAGACTACAAATCACAACTTTCTTCACATTGAAGAGCAACATGACATTGAAGGCAGTAATTTGTTGATTTGGCTTCAATATTCAGATTCTAACATAGCTTGTGAGGTATGCCATTAGTAAAATATGTTGTTAGAACTCAGCCTCGTGTTTTCTTTCCCTTATGATGGCATGAGTCCTAGGAGGTAGTCCTGTTGTAACAACATTTTCCCTTGGTATGGCGTAGCTGTTTTACAGAGATTAGCTTTCTGTTTTATAACAGGAAAGATGTAGCAAACTAGTATTTATCGTTCCATGCAAAAGTGCTCCTATTAACACATTGAAATGAAGAAAAGTGATGTTTTAAGGACCTTTGATTTCCTAAGAAATTGATACAAACAGAAATTAATCAGGTTTTCTCGACATCTTTGTACAGGCTGTGTAAATGCTTGAGAACAAACACAGGCCTCATAAAGACAGCTGGAGGAAAGCTTTTATTGCCATGATCATTACAGACACAGTGAATGTAAATGCTGCAGGGGTATATCTCCAAAACCTATGGCAGTGTTTTGCCCAAAACCAAGCAAGTGATTTATCCCAATATGTCTACTTCCTATTTTTCCACATAAATTTGAAAGGAATTGATGTGTGGAACTAGGAGATTGAGAGTTCAAAGTCTCTGAGGATTTTTGTTCCTTTGTGAAAATTAGAGCTTCATATTTGCAGTTTTTCTCAGTTTTAAAAGGTGACTTTAAACAAGGTGATGCTCATGATCATTGTGATAGTTTTCGTTTTTTTAAATTACGATATGCAGATTTTCAGACTGTGTCACTGGTGGATTTCTTAAATTTCTGCACATGTGCACCTTAGAATTGTTTTTATTCTCATCTGACTTCTTCATTTAAAATTATTTTGTTCACTTTTTAATGTTTTGTTTAATTGTCTCTTACAGTATACCACTTCAGAGTACTTAATTCCTGATTTGTTGGATATATGAGAGCTGCAACAAGTCACTGAAAGTAAACATTAACCAAACTGTGAATTTACTGCACAGGAATGCTCCTAATTAATCCTTAAATTCAGTGACAAAACACATCTATGCTTTATATGTCAATAGCCCTGTTATACCCCTAAGCTTCTGGTTGCATAGCTACTTCTGACATGGCTACTTTCTTCATTTTGCAATATGGACTTGGATTAAAATGCATTATTCCTATTGCCTATCTTTATTCAATATTCAGAAAAAAAATTAAGAAAACCAGACTGATCTAGAAACACTATCAGTAAACCAAAATTAGTCTTAATGCACTAATATCAGAAAATTATTTTGGAATTTTTTGGTTTTTTTTTGCTGTTACATCGAACACCGAGAGCAGAAGATTCTATATGGATAAGCATATGGCAAAGTAAATTGGAGATCAATTTATAGCCCTTTCTTAAAACAGTCTTTATGCTTTCTTTCCTTGGTGCTTGGTTAAAGCCCACATTCTGTAGATGAAGAAGAGTATGATAATATTGTACATGGAGCTCTTCAGAAGAAGGATGATATATACTAAATATGCTGTCCTGTGCATTAACTGATCTGTAACAAATAGAAGAAAGAAAAGTCTTGTTTAATGTCAACATTGTATAGCATCCTAAAAATGGATAGAAATGGAACAATGCAGTTCAGTTTATTGCTGCAATTACATTGACACCAGTGCACAGCATAAACACATACAAAATCTCCTGTTCTTTAAATGAGTTTGCACTGCTAATGAGTTCCAGACCTAGTGGTCTTCTTAGCAATAAACTGACTCTCAGTGTTACTGGGTTATTTGTCCTTGTAAAGGCAAGAGCATAACTGTAGTGCTTCCAGCACTTAGTATGATGTTTGTTTAAATCTTTTTATGTTGTATTTATTGAAGATAGCTGTTCATGAGTCTTCCTAAATACCATTCAAGACAAAAAAATAATTTGCCCAAAGTTCTGGGCAATTTCTAGGCTGATGTAGCATCAGCTGAAGTGCTTAACTACTCCAAGTGTTTAAAAACTTGGTGGTGCTTAATGCAGGCTAATAATCTAGTAGCCCAAACAGCATCTGTAGCATCTTGATAAAGCTGCTGATAAAGGTAGGAGAGTCCCATATAAGAAGTTAGTTCAGAGCAGTGCTGAAAGGTTTTTGAGGTGCTGACCCCAGACTTGAAAGATTTCCTCCATTCTACTAAGAAAGATATTTTTTGTGATGTTCAGATTATATGTATCAATATCTAGCTCTTGCATGACATTAATCACTTCCCCACCTTTTAACACATTAAATTACCTCGGTTAAAACCTGTTCTGCAGTCCTCTTCCTGAGGATCAGTCTTCACAGAATCTACCGGAAAGAGTTTAAATGCCTCAGTTAGGCTTTTCTTTAATTTTAACAAAAACTAATTGAGAAATAGGGGAAAAAAGAGGCTGTACAGGAACAAGTAATGGGAAAATGGGAAGTTAGTATTAAATAAAAAACCAGAGCCTTAAGATGAGTCTGCAAAGCAGATATTCACAAGATATTCATTTGCAGAGAAAATTTGAAGAGGAGAAATGTTCGAAAAAGTGGCTGGATATTTGTTGCCATAAGTGGGAGAAGTGTCTTTGCCCTTTCAGGAATGTGTCCATTAGGCTATTCCTTGGCAAAGTCTCTTTTATTTGGAACAGGAGTCAGTTTGACCACCTGACCTTGTCAGCAAAGAAGGTGAAGTCCATTTGCCTTCACAACTTACAGTTATCAGAAACACAGAATAATTTACATTGGAAGAGACTTCAGTTAATATGTTCATATGTTAGTGGTTGTTCAACAGAAAATAATAATATTGAGGAGTGTATGATCTTAACTTTCCCTACTGGGAATCTTTGTCCTGTTTTTTTTTCCTCTAAAATACATCCTTTTTGTTCTTGAAGTAGCAAATTGGAGTTTGTTCTTAGTTATGTTGTTTGTATGCATTGATACAAACATTAAAGACATTTATATTGCATCTATAAATACATCCTCCATCTAAATAAGCTTAAAGTATATTTTTGTCAGAATATATTTTGAAGGTTGAAATGTAATTTTTGTTTATGGCCATACTGTCACTTATTGGAGATAAGTTAATTTATAGTAAGTTAAGCAGAGATGGGTATGGAGAGAAGATTAATCTAAACCAATTTAGACCAATTTTCTTTAGATGATTTAAACAATTTTTCTTAGTGTAAGTTAATTTTTCTTTAAAGTTGCATTGTCCTTCAGATTTGGCTTTGCATAATCAATCTTTCTACAATTAAAAACAAAATCTTATTTTTATACATGGCTATTAACTTACTATTTTTGGATTGTGTGTAAGTAATATTTTTTTACTTGTTCTCAGTAGCCTCATTTTTAACTTCTTCATTTTTATAGCTGTGACTAATGTCAGGGGACGTCAGAGGGACTTAGACCTGTAAGCTATGAGAGGCAATACTGTTTTCAGAAACTTCTGTAATATGGAAAGTAACAGACATTTTCAGATCTGTTGGACCTGTGATAATTTATACCTGATGAGGTTCACAACTTTAAAATAACTATTATTTTTCTGTTACAATGGAATACTTACTTGGGCACCATAACACAGGTTGAGTGTTTACTTTTCCTGGGAAAATTTTGGTAGTTTCTCCAATTGTGTACTTTAGCTAATGTGCCTAGAAGCACAATTGTCTTCATCAATAATAAAAAGCATTATTACTCTAATTTTATTGTAAACAAAATGATGTTTATAATAGAACACCAAATTACTTTTTTAACATATGGAATATACCTTGTGTTTCCAGTAAAATATTTTCCTCTTCATGCTCATATTTGCAGTAGTATTTCTTGTCTTCACTCTCTGCTGGCACAGTTAACCAACTGGCAATTGAGTACCCATCCTCTTCTGTGGACTGCCAAGTGTCACCTTTTACTACGTTGTTTGTTACCTCCTTTCCATCTTCGGTCCATGTCACCCTAATAACTTCTGGGTAGAATTTCTCAATAAGGCAAACATATACTATCTGATTTTCATGTTTTTTCTTCAGGATTTCAGAGTTTGCTGGGGGAGAACTTCCTTTTTCTGGATGGGTTATTGATGAAGAAAGTTAACAAAACAGAGAGTTGGAAAATCAGTAGTGTACAGCAAATAAATACACAGCCAAAAATACAAATTCTGAAGAACAACAAAATAAATGCCTAATTAAAAAATATTAATACACTTGTAACAAATATAAATGCTCTTTTGAGAAACATTAAGAAACGGATATACTGTTGAATATGTCAATAACTGTTAATATCACTTGAAACTGAGTTAGAAATCTTCAGGTGGCTACACAAGATGCCTATATCCTACAACCTTCAAGTAGCACTGCTGTCAGAAAGTGTATCTGACTGTTCAAGTCTCTGACTATTATTAAATAATAGTAATATTTCCAGAAAAAGATTCATTTATTCATTAAGAGGAATTTATTATTGCTTTACAATATTTATGCAAAAACAGGTACATTAAAATTTTGTCCACAGAATATTAAATATAGACCACCTACCTTTAAAATCTTATCAGATTTATGACCCCAGTATAAGTCCCCACTGCTATATAATGAACATCTGCTATATCTATTAATTTTTTAAAAGCCAAGTTTTTAAATTTTTTAAATTTAATTTTGTAATATTTTTTAGGGCACAAGGGAAGGGAAGAAAGAAATGATCACTCTGTTTTTAAGGCATTCCATATATTTGCCTGGTGAAGATTTTTATCAAGACAGGAAAATGGAATCACAAAATGCCCTAGACACCAAAGGCTGGCAATGCTATTCTGCCATATTAGATCCGTTTAAATTATTGAATTAATATATGTGAAAATGAAAAACCAAAACTAAACTAAAGGAGAAGAACATGCTATAGCAGTATAACATTGTCACATCTAAACAGCATACCTAGCCAGAGCTGTCTGCATAAATGTTGTGCTTTAGGAAACATCTCAGTATGAATATAGATTAATATATTTTAAATTAAAAATTATCTGTTTCCCTAAGGTTGTTTGACATAATCTCCATTTCATTTGCCTCTCTGGATTAGGAGGAGACAAAATGATCCAGATTTTGTCCACACTGAGATGACGTTTTGATATTCTTTAAGTGGATAGTAAATTTAAGGGTCTGATTTAGTTAAACATGAACTTCTGGAGTGAATGCATAGACAGTGCTCACAAGCAATCATTTCTGCCTATGCTTAACTGCAAGTGAAGGCTGCATGCAGTTTTCAAAACTGAGTTGTTGCATAGAAAGTACTGCTTAAGACTGTTTTTTAAAGCAGCAGAGACATTTTAGTTGTTCCCTTATCCCATTTTTTCTCTTGAATTCCTATGTAAGTCTCTGCCACTGAATTTGAGCAAGGAGGTGCATGGGATTTAAGTTGTGGTCTGACTGATCGGTGCAGTTTGAATGCATTAGGAGAAAATACATTACTATAAAATGCATTTTTGCCAAAAAGCTTTCACTTTTCTTTAAATGATCTGCTGTTCTAGAGAAATCTTCTATGTTGCATTCTCCCTGAAACAACTTTCTGATTATTTGAAGTATTTCAAACTTGGTGTTTAAAGAGAAAGATTACTTGTCTACCTTCAAAAGGGTGTCTACTTTCCGTATATTAAGAATCTCCTTCATTTTAGAGATGTCATTAAAATGACAATGTGGACTAAGTTATCTTGTACCAGAAATAAAGTTGTTGTCAACTTTATAGTTCTAATATTAATTTAGGAGTTAATTTTATCTTCCAGTAGAGCAGCCTACTGAAAAGGACCTGGGGGAGTTGGTGGATGCATGGCTGGACATGACCCAGCCATGTGCACTTGCAGCCCAGAAAGCCAAATGTGTCCTGGGATATATTAAAAACAACATGATCAGCAGGGCACGGGAGGGGATTCTGCTCCTCTGCTTTGATGAGACCCCTCCTGGAGTGCTGAGTCCAGCTCAGGACAGATAATGACCTGTTGGAACAAGTCCAGAGGAAGCCAACACATTGATCAGACCTCTCCTATGAGGAAAGGCTGAGACAACTGGTATTGTTCAGCCTGGAGAAGAGAAGGCTTTGGGTCGCCTAATTGCTCCCTTCCAGTACCTGAAGGGAGGCTACAAGAAAGATGGAGAGAGACTTTTTTACAACACCATGTAGTGACAGGACCAGGGGGAATAGCTTTACACTCAAAGACAGTAGTGTTAGATTAGATTCTAGGAAGAAATTATTTACTGTGAGGGTGGTGAGGTACTGTACCAGAGAATCCAAAAAAATTGTGGATGCCCCAATCCTGGAGCTCTGAGCAACCTCATCTAGTGGAAACTGTCCCTGGCAACAGCACTGAGGCTTAAACTAAATGATCTTTACGGTCTCTTTCAACCCAAGCCATTCTATGATTAGCCATTCTATGCTTCTATGATTTTGGCCAGAAATGTACCAGATTTAACAACTATAATATGAACAACAAGATTCTCTTGTTCGGCTTTGTGAATATAGAATATTTGGATTCAATCTCAGTTAATGCTACTGTTCACAGAGACCCTCATTTTAAATCCTGGTTTCCTCTATTGCTTAATGATTTTAAGTTCTTAAATGTGAAGTAACTACAGCCCTTTTACTCTATTAATGAGTCAAAAGCCTTAGGCTCATAAAGACAAAATCCTACAGAATTACAGTGATGATTGGAAATAATTTATTTTAAACTGTACATAGGAAAAGCATAGCAACTACCTGATTAGGTAGGTAAGGGTTTTCACTAAAAACAACACGCTTGTCATGCCACAGCTATTTCCAGTGAATTATAGGTATGATTTTCTTAGTCCTTCTGGCATAAATCATTAAACCAATCTTTGCTTGATATCTTAATATAGGCTTATGCATTAACCAGGCTTAAAACACTTGGTAGCAGTACTTCCTCTGCCTTGTATTTGTTTAGTTGTTCACTTCAGGATTATGGCATTTAAAGCACATGTAGGAAATGGGAAAAAATATTTTTGTCTGCTACTTTCCATTAATATAAATGTCTCTGCAAGAAATGTATAAAAAAGGATCACTTCTCCATTAAGCAATTATTACACAGTAATTCACCATAATTAATACTCAATAATTAATTTGTTAAGCAGTTATTAAGTAATGAGAAGAACACTTGGAAGTACTAATTTATTTCTAATGCTGAAGTGTTGTGTATGTGACAAAATACTTATGAACAAGTTATTTAACTTTTTCTAGACTAATCCAAAAAGATTTTTTGCAATGTCCATTGCATACTGCATTTGTATCTCTATTAGAAAGAGGTTTTCTTTTTTCATGCTTAATTCTCAGCTCCTTGATTCCCTGCTAAATCCTTCAATACAGCTGGAGGAAAGAATGAGGTTTCTGAAAATTATTACAGACCATTTTCCACCAGATTTCTAGGAGAACTATAATCAAAAGTGTCTTAAAATAGGTTCTTTCTAGATTGTTTGTGATCCTAAACCACTGCATTACAAACACCACAAGGATGAATGTAGGAATGGTGAGCTGGGAAGGAAAATCCTGTGCAAGGAATGGTGCTGACTGAGGCTCTAAGTGGGCTGAGTGACCTCTGAGATAATGTTATACTCATCTGTATGACCACTCCAAGCTCCTATAGCTTATTCTATGAACAATATACATACAACTTACCTGAAACAATGAGTTTTGTACCTGAGCCGAACAACTTGTTGTAATAACCAGTCACAGTGAATAAAGCCTTTACAATATCAGTGAGGCTCAGTTGTGTTTGCATGGGTACATAGTGCTCTTTAAAGAAAATCAGATTTGCTGTATAATCAATTTTTAGGCACTAGGGAAGTAAAAAAGGAACAGTCACCTAAAATAAACAAAAGTTTAAAAAATGGAAAAAATGTGGAATTTTTGGAGGGCATATAAATTCTTAAATGAAAAGAATTAATCTCAACTAATTTGAGTTTTCTGCAGGTTTAGGTGGACAGCACAGATGGAGCACCTTGGCTCCATCTCTGCTTTCTGGAAACAGGCAGCATCACCCTAAGATTTATTTGATGAGATGCTGATAAATAATTTGCTCCTTATACACCCCAGTAAGATCAGACCCAGAGCTGGTGAACATTATATAGAGATCTGAGGAGCAGGAGACTATTGACCAATATTTTTATTACCAGTAACATGAAGTAAAACTGCATTGATTGGAATCAAAATTCTCACAAGAAGATACACCATTTTCAGTGGTCAAAATTAGAGAAACTATTTTTATCTCAGATGCTTACGTGAGCCAAATTACAGGCAAGTATCACAGCACCTAGGGTTTACTTGAAGCAAAGTATTTTGTATAGTAGTAATAACTAATAATAAGCAGTTTCTGCAAAAGCTAAGCAGAGATAGCAGCCTTTCAACACTGCCTATCTTAAAAGGTGCAACTTACTGTTCTGGGCATATCTCAAATAACTCTCATTTTCATTCGTAGTCAGATACAGTCCAAAAGAATAATGTTTAGCTTTTCAAAGAGCATGTGTAGCACAGAGGTTGGACATATTATTTTCAGAAAGAATTAGGAATCACAAAGGTCACATGTTCATATTTAGAGATAAAAAAACATTTTTCTGTTCTCCAAATGTTGTCCGTGCCATATTTAAATTCATTTTTACATAGAAAATCACAATGAGATAAGTTATAGGTCTCTTCTGCGATAGCTGTTTTGTTTCCCCCATTTCATGCATAAATACAGAACAATTACATTGTGCTCTGCACATGCAAATAGAAATGCTGTTTAAGGAGGAAATCCTGCAAAGTGTTCAGAATAGTTAGAATTAGAGAGAATTAAAAGAGCAGAGCACTTCATGCCAGCCAATATCTAGCTCTATTAAAAAGCATTTCAGAAGTAATTAAGTTTTACATTTTGTACTTACTTGAAACTCTAAGTTCAGTTCCACTTCCAAATATTTTGACATCAGGATCCCACAATCTGATAATGCTTAGCAATATCTCCTGCACTGCACTTTTCTTGCATAGGCTACAGAAAAAGTCTCTCTGGTTTAGAGACTGGTGATAAATCTGACTAAGTGCAATAGCTGAATTATCAACATTGACTAGAGTGCCATTTTTAGAAATACTTTAATTTTTGTAGTGAGTAAAAAGTTCTGAAAATTTTTGGTCAGCAGCATGGATAGAAAACATTTTAAATTTCTCTGTAATTCTCCCCAGCAGTTAGCAATTTGAGTTAATTATAGTCACCTTGATAATGCAATGTAGTTTCTGAGTAACATACTGTAGGCATTGCTATATGCTTTATACTGAAAAAAGCATTCATCCTGTTGACTGCATAGCTTTACCACAATTAAAAATAATACATATACAAAAGTAAACCAGTTGCTTTCAGTAAGGTCAGGAACTAGAAATGTATTACATGCAGGGAATTTTTCTTCCCAATCAATTTAGACAAGACCACTTCTGTCAACAAGAAACTTTTTCATTTCTCACATGCTGTTCTGGGAGTTAACTTTCAAACAGTTCACTTTTGTTTCCTAGAACAGGATGAAACCATCCCAATATTTAAATCTACCTACCCAATTGGGGCACCATGCACTATTCACACACAAAATATGATTTATCAGGGAGAAAATAATTTTCCTCACAGTATTTTATTCCTGATTATCTGAGAACTTGAATGATATCTGAAAATCTGTTAAATTCTAACAGTACTTACCAGAGATAATTAGCTTTGTTCCCGTGCCAAAGTATTTGATCCAGGTGTTCCACACTATGTTTTAACTTTACAATAAGCCAGCATGTTCTCTTGATATACCATTGATGAAGAAAATCCAAAATTTTCCCAATCATTCATGGGAGTCTGCATGAAGACCTGGTCCTTGGCTGCTGGGAGGTTGTCAGGAATTTCAGATGTGCATCTGGATATTCAGCCGATAGCTAATGTCCTTCAGAGAAAATCTCTTTTCCGAAGTGTTACAAATTTGTTAGATAACCCCTCCACTTAATGTCTTAGAACTAGATTATGAATTTTCTTCAATTTTAGACAGTAAATAAGAACACAGAGTTCTGCATATTAGAAAAAAAAACACTTACCTTCAGGTGAAAATCTTGTTCTTGATCAAAGGTACACCTGCAATTTTATGATATCAAGTACTGCTAGCATGGAGTCAATTTTTCATTGTCGGAACACAGAAGAAAGAAAGGAGGGAGAGCCAGCACCAAAAAAATCGTGAAAGTGTCTGCGTGCTGCATGTTGCCCCAAGCAGGTGGTTATTGTCTGCCCATCTCTTGGAATCACTCCAGGCTTTGCTACAGCAGCTCACCGGCATCTTTTTTATCTAATAACTGGTGGGAAAAGAAAGCTTTTCCTTATAAAACAGCCCAAGATAACATCAGAGGAGTCACTACTACATCCATCAAAAAGCCTGCATGCTCAGTTTGGCCTTTAAAATAAACTGAATTAGAGTACTTCTGGGATCTCTTGTAGCATACTGACTGCAAAATTATGTTGAGAACTTACTATTTGTGGTGAAAGAGAGGAGCTAGAGAGTGAAGGTCTTTCAACTGAAGTAGGTGTAAAAAACCCCAGTAGTCTACTTTGAAGTCTTCTGAACAGAAACATCCTAATCACAACCACAAACCAAGGGCAGGAGTGATGTAGACAGAATGATGCTGACTGGTGTTTTTCCTGCCACGCCCTTAGACATGCAGTGAAGGGAACCACCTATCTCAGTTCTGGCCAGGCAGGGTTAATTTTTGCAGTGGACCAGAGAGTGCATGGCTAAGACACACAAGTTACTCTACATCACCTCACCTTATTGCTGGATGTGGGGGAAGGAAGTCTCTTCTGAGGGAACAGGGGTTCCTTCTGGTCAAGTACATGTGGCAGAGTGAGCAGTTGGGTAATGCTGGTTCCAGGCTGGAGGGAGCAGTCAGCTAATGCCAGTTTCAAGCAATCATGTGGGAATGGTATTGTATGTTGCCCACCTCATCATTAACATTATTGTTATTGTTTGGTTTTTATCTCGTTGCTCTTTCCAGTAAATAGTTCTTATCTCAACCCATGATTTTCACCTTTTGTGCCTTCAATTCTACCCTCAAGCCCTCCACAAGAGAGTAGGGGAAGCAAGCAAGCATAACATGATTTGAAGAGCTTCAGTGGGAGCACTACCATTCTCAATGGGGAATACCATTCCTAAACCATGACAGCCTTACTTGGTGTCCAAATGGAGTATGAAATGTTGAGATAACAACAGGTCTGTCCAAACATGGTTAAAAACAAATTTGATCCAGGCATTTATTATATGAAGCATGGAGCCACTGGTTATAATTTTGCTTGATCTGTTCACATGGTTGTAGTACCTAATAATGCATATATTCGTTTGTGTGCTCCTTGCATAGCTCTTTTTCAGAGCAGGGAAAAGGATCAGGGTTGCTTTGTTGATGTACTGGGGGATATTAGCTAATGACATGACAACATCAAAGTCAATGAGGGACATTTGGGATGTGTATTCAGTGTTGCTCTCCTACCCTTACCTGGGGCACAGCCTTTGGGGGTCTATTAATAATCATAGCTGTGGGAATCCTTAAAATCAGAGGGTTTTTGGAAAGCTGCAAAAGGCAGGCCTCAGAGACAGCAGAACTGCGAGTAGAGCTAAGCAGTAGCCATAAGATTTGTCAGTAGAAAAATTATATAAGAAGTAGAAAAGTAAGGACAACTAGAACAATGGTCTGTGTATTAATGCTTGCCTAGAATAAGTCCCTAAGCTACAGAAAAGTATATCCAGCAAGATATTGTGAAGTTCTAAGCTTAATAATGGAGCTCTGTGCATTGTATCTTAAAGCTTCCAAGCAGATATTGTATTCAAAATAAGCAAGCATTTTTTTAACCAAAGGAGCATGTGTTTATATTGGTTGGATAGCATATTGACAGAACTACTGCCAATATGCTTTTACTTTGTGTGATTGGTCAAAAACCTTTAAAAGTAAGTTGTAACATTAAGTTCTTTGCTGCTGGGGATGTGAGCTGTCAGTATCTTCCCATTGTCATAACCATGTAATGAGAGTGATGCTGGAAAATAAACAGCTTGAGATGCGTTCCCCAGAAGTCCTGTCCCGTTTTTGATTTGTACATAGACCCCCGGCCAGCAATAATAGCCAATTTTTGGAAGGAACAGGAGAGGACGAATTTCCCAAGATTTTCACCCCCTTTTCCTGCTTCAGGCCTGTTACAACAGCTTTTGAGAATTTTGAATTTCCCTTGGGTTTTAAAAAAAGCATGTTATTGTTGCAAAGCCTGCCAGATCTCCTCAGTGTGGCCCATACCACGTTTAGAGTCAGGACAGAGGTATATAGGGAGGTTATTCAGAGATGTAACTTGAAAGTGGATAGTCATGGGTGCCATGAAAGGCAGGCGATAATGGGCCAGCTTTTGAAGGATTACTCTGCTAAAATGTTCTGGAAGTTCACCCCTGAACATTTAGAGTTTTGGGGTTGAGTGAGATGAAGGTTTTGCTCTAAGATTGCGGGAGAAATCCTCTTGGTTATGGTGAGCAAAAACTCACCCCCATTGTCTCCTTGGAGTTCATATGTAAAATGATTACTAGAAAGTTCTTTGTTCCTCCTGTTGTTATTGGTTGCTACTTGCTGCATTGATTTTAATATTCCTAACCCCAGTTTGTGATTGGTACCCTGTCCCTCAGATTCCACCCCTAACCTATCCTATATATATCACTGATCCTACCCCAACCCTTGCATTTTTAGCGCACCCTATACCCTGTTTGCAGTCTCTACTCTTTGTTGTTTTATTTTCAGGTCACTAAATCATGCTTGTCTCTATTTATTTGCCATGCAGACTTTCTCTGGATAGTGCTGAGGTGACACTCACACATGGCATCCAGGTCTGGCGTGTCACACTGCGGGACACTGGCAGAGGTGTAACTTGCTGCCGTGTGCCCTGCCTACTCTTGACTGGACACAGTTCAGTACCAGAGAGCACCCTCAGGGGGAAGAGGAGGAAAACAGACCACGGGCACTGTGACCACTCACTGAAGCTGAATGAGAGGAACAACCCATGCTAGTATAGAAGAAGAAATCCAAGACAAAATCAGTTTGTTTAGTGAGGGACGAAGAATAGGGCCCTGTAGTTGTTTGTTAATTTTAGATTTTGCTAATTTTGAGATTTTCTGGTAAATGCACTAAGGACTGTGATGGGTTTAGTGTTTGCTAATCACTAATGCACTCATTTCTTGTTGTGAGATAGGATTAGGAGAAAAGCAAAGCAGGCTCAAAACTTTAAAAGGGTATAAAGAAAAACTTATTAACATTAATTAAAAGAAAGAATAATAAGAATCAGAACAAAACCTTCAGAACACTTCCTATCACAACCTTTTCTTTCTTGCTGACAAAAGAAACAAAAAAAAAAAAAAAAGTCAATTTACCACCTCTAGAATAGTCTTTCTTTAGTTTACTTAGGGAGAGAAGTCCCTCTTGTTAATGCTATGGAAACTTCTCTACAAGAAAAACAGTTCTCTCATAGCTCTCATGAATAGCAGCCACTTGGGGAAATTTGTAATTGTGAACTCTCTCTCATCTTTTATCACAGTTGCTTTTATGGCTATGTTAATTTATGGGGTATTATTTTAAAGATGAACTGTTTAAAGGTTAAAGGTCTATCTATCTCTAAAATAATCTTTATCTTTAGGAACAGAGATCTTTTTCTTTTCTTCTTGAGGACACAGGACTACTCTTCTCTCCTTTGTTCAAACTTCTCATAGGATCATAGCTATTTTAACATCTGCTTACTTTAGTATGGAAGCTTTTGCTTAATATCTACAATTTGAACACTTTAATCTCTCTATACCTTTATGTGTTATAGGGAGAAAGAGTCTTTCTCTATAGCTTTATAGGAGGATTTCAGCCCCAAGATTAAGGCATCTCCTCATCCCTTCTGTTATGTGTAGTAGATCTAATTCGTGCCATTTCTAGTATGATATATGTGATATTGAATATTTGTTGGAGTAAACACGTTTGTATTAGGAGTCCCCCCCACCCTCGCAGGCGAAACCTGGTGTATGTTGAAATCCGATTTCCAAGTAAAAGGATGATGGGGATGGAGCGTGTCTGGAGAGATACAGGGGACCCCAGGCGCTGATCACCGCGTAAACGACCTGAGATGGATATAATGGAAATCCTCGGGCAGATACATCTGAATGCAGCGTTCCCATAAATTTCATCAAGGGATTCACCAACTCCAGACATTGAATTGTTCTTCATCACCAAAAAGAAGAAAATCTTATTAACCTATGGACTTTGAATGAAAGACTGACTGCCGAAATCTTGGCCTCAGGAGGAATTTTCCCTATGAAAACCACTTGTGACAGGGTGGAAATGTGTGGGCATAGAGGAAAACCTCTGTTGAGGCTGACTTCTTTGTTGCACACCCAGCGCCAACCCCAGACTTGGCTCTGTTCTTTCCTTGTGGCTGGCTAGATGGACTTTGATTGCAAACTAATTTTTTTTTTTTTCATTTTAATTTGGCTGGACAAATTTTCATTTATAACATTTCCATTTCTGACTTGACTTCCTCTTCATTAACTTTAGTGCTTTTATATTGCTCTTTTACATACTTTCATCTTATTCTTTGTTTTTACTCAAGAAAGGATTAAAGCACTGAAAAACTTAATATCTTGCTTCAAGTTTTTATATAGTCACCTAAACTAGGACTTGAAGGTGTCTTCATTTGAAAAGACAGGTGTCTGCTAAGGAAGGAAGGAACATCCTCTGAAATTGAAAATGTAGACCCCCTCCCACCAAATTGTTATAATTTTGAAATTAAGGGGGCTCTCAGCCAAAGGTATGGGAGCAGGAATAACTGTTCTTTATTAGGGAAGAAAATAAAAATAAAACAATGCAGTAATACAACACAACACTGACAGAGTCAGAATACAATCTGACACCCTGTTGGTCAGGGTGTTGGTAGCAGTCCAATGGAAATGGTGGCTGCAATCCTCCTGCAGTGACAGGTGTGGTTCTGTTGAAGCAGTGAGCCTGCAGAAGAGTGTAGTCTTCCTTTGAAGATCCAGTGGTGGTGTAGATGGGCCTTGTCTTCCTCTGGGAATCCAGTGGAGAAGACAGCTGCTCCTCTGGGAATCCAGTGGAAAAGCCTGACTGTGGTATTCCAGAGCTCTGATTATAAAAAGTAAGGAATGCTTGGCTTTTCCCTCTGGGCGGAGCTTCTCACAATTGGATGATGTAATTTTATCAGTCATGCTGTGGCACTCAATGGCCCATTAACAGCAGATGTCTCCCTGGAGGGAGGATGGGTTGTGGAAGAGATAAAGAAAACTGCCCAATTAAGAGAAGATATCTGCCCCATCAGATAGGAATGGAATACACCCCCCATTTCCAACCTAAGACAGAAGGGAGCTAAAATTTAATCAGTCAGTCAAAAACTCAGTAGCAACATGCTAAAAAAGGAGGGAGGGAGTATATAGCTTCTCTTTCCCCCTGCCCAATAGTTATAGTAGTAGAATCTTATACGAGCCATCTTGGCCTGGGCTGCTCCTGAAAGTTAACAGATTCAGCTCAGCCCCAGGCTAGTAGCAAGATGTTAGAAATTGCAACCATCACCTGACCCCTAGCACTCCCTCCCCTGCTCCAGCAGCTGATAAAAAGCCAGCAAGCACCCCACGGGGAGAAAGGAGCCCACCCTGCGGCCAGGGCTGCCTGGGGCGTGTTACCTCTTTATCAACCAGAAGACAAACAAAGTTTTTCCAAAATGTGTTTTTCACAGAAGTGTGTACAGCTTCCCAGTAGTTCTGTAGACTGTCAGTTACACAAAAGCTTTTACATCACATCTGTAGATGCCTCTCATGCAAAACCACTACCAGCCCTCAGCAGGAGGAAGAGACAAGGCCAGAGATAAACACCTAATCCCTATTCCAGGTGAGCTGTGAGATATGTGAAAGGACTTCAGCTGGCAGTCAGGAGAGCTCTATGTGACCTGCCTGCTCTGATGCTGGGAAATCATGGCCCAAAACATAAAAGTAGATGGTAAGTGAAGCCAAGCAGCTGAGATCCTTGTTCTGGGATCTGAGTGTTGGCAAGGAGATTGGGAAGAGGACAGAAACTTTCAGTCTCTGGAGGTGACTCCTGTCAAGTGGAAGGGAAAGGATTCTTTCATTCTCTCAAAGATGATCCAATAGGGTACCCAAGTCGGTGGAATACCATGGGAAAAGGTATCCTGTACCTGAGCGATTTAGCTGTGCTGAAGGTAATCTTTAGGGATTCAAATAACAAGCAGTCCCCTCCCTTGTGCAGTGTACACAATGTACGTGGCAGAAGTTTGTACGGAGCTTGCCATCATCATACACTAACCCTTTGAAATCCTTTTCATTGATGTCAATGAAAGAAGAAGAAACACTGCCTCAGGTGGTCACTCGACTCTGACAATGTGTTCATCTTTTTTCCTCCCTACCAACCTAAGCCTTGGCTGTGGAAACATTGTTCAAGACTCCGGACAGACTCAAAAGATTCAAGCATGTTAGAGAGGAAATGTTTGATGTTCTGCCAGTATGGACGACAGTCTCTTCTACTGGGAGCATGCACCACCTTTCTCGAGAGAGAAGTACATACCACAAGGTAACCTAGAGTTGGTTTTACTTGAATGACTACAGACAGGACATGAAGAAGCACCTCTGCCCTAGCAGCAAAAGTGTATGAGTGTGCTGGTTAAAAACACAGCTGGAAAATTAAGCCCCATTTAAGCTTCTCTTTCTTCCCCAACTCCCTCTTAGTGAGAGACTAAAAGCAAAGATTCTGAGTTGAGAACCATTTACTTGAGAAAAAAAAACATGAATTAAATTAGGAAAATGAACAGTAACTATATTGAAGTACACAAAACAAAGGTGATATGCATACAGAAGGTTATTGACCAACCAAGACCTTGCATAACCTGAGACAAGAAAGTGAGACGTGGCCCTTCCTCCCATGCACTGGACCATAGAGCATCTGGGAAGCTAGCTAGGAGATATGCTGCTGAAAAGTACTGGCTCCATCAGTTGCAGCTGTGCTCCCGATGCAGGGGTCCCTTTCCCCAGGGCAATAGTTATCCCAGTAGTGGTTCTGGTGGGCACTGCAGCTTGCATTGGGGTTCTTGGCAGCTGCAGAATGAACAGCAACAGTAGCAGCAGCTGTGGCAGTGGCAGCATTTACCCCTTTTGAGTTTCTGATGGCCATGTGCTCAAGGGAACAATTTATTCTTTCCATGGCCTAGGTGAGACTGACTGCTTCCAGCTTCTGATGGCTCAGCCTTTTCTGCTGCAACCAAACTCCAGCCATGATGTGAATAGTATGGAATTAAATAGTGTTAGAAATTCCATTCCTATTTTTTAGCTCTGTACCCAGGACAACCTATGCATGAAATTCTTCAAGGATAAATGCCCCTCCACTTTACAGTGGGCAAATCCTCAGACAAAGTAGGATGGCTGATGTTACTTCTTATCCTCTTGAAGGGACTTCCAGTTCATGTTTACAAGAACTGAGAAGTGAATACTATTACCAGAACTCCAGAGGGGACTCCAGCCAGGTGGAGAAAAGGGACAATCAGATCTATTGGACTGTATGAATCTGATGGCCTGATGCAAGAGTGTAAGTAAGGCTTTAGTTGGCACTGGCACACAATGTACCCTGATGCCATCAAGATCTATCTTTATTACTGCGGTGATAGAGGGATGGCAACAGCTGCCAGTACTGGAAGCTGAGGTGAGCCTGACTGGGAACAAAACGCAAAAAGACCCCAGAGGCCCCGTGTGTCCTTGGCATAGATTACCTTGGGCAAAGGTATTTTGAGGGCCCAAGGGGCATTGTTGGGTTTTTGGGATAGCTACTGTGGAGACAGAGGAAATTAGACAGCTGAACACCTTGCCTGGTCTCTCAAAGGACCATTCTGCTGTGGGGCTGATGAAGGTCAAAGAACAACAGGTACCGATCACTGCCACAACTGTGCATCATCAACAATACTGCACCAACCAGGACTCCGTGACCCTCATCCATGAGATGATTCAGGAACTGGAGGGCCAGGGAATGGTCAGTGAGACTCACTCACACTTTAATAGCCCCATATGGCCAATGTGTAAGTCCAATGGAGAGTGGAGACTGACAGTGGACTATCATGGCCAGGATGAAGTCACACCACCACTGAGTGATGCTGTGAAGGACATGCTGGACCTTCAGTAAAAACTGGAGTCCAAGGCAGAAAAGTGGTGCCACCATGGACATTGCTAATATGTTTTTCTCCATTCCTTTAGCAGCAAAGTGAAGGCCGCTGTTTGCTTTCATCTGGAGGAGTGTCCAGTACACATGGAATGGACTGTCTCAGGCATGGAAACAGTCCCACTATTTGCCATGGACTGATCCAGACTGTATTGGAAAAGAATGAGGCTACAGAATACTTGCAATACATTGGTGACATTATTGTGTGGGGCAACACAGCAAAGGAAATTTAAACAGAAGAGGAAGAAGAGGCTCTACCATATAATCAAGCTACCAGAAAATGAAAAGTGATACCTTCTCTTTAGTGATGGCTCCTGCTGTATTGTAGGGATACAATGAAAATAGAAAGCTGGCATATGGAGTCCTACTTGATGACTCACAGAAGCTATTGAGGCACAAGGTGGATCAAGTCTATTTGCAGAGCTTCTAGCTGGGTTTTGATATCACTGAATGAGAGAAATGACCTGTGCTCTACCTTTTACTGACTCATGGATGATAGAAAATGCTCTGTGGAGGTGGATGGAGAGATGCAAAAAGAACAACTGGCAATGCAGAGGTAAATGCATGTGGGCTGCTGAACCGTGGCAAGACATCACTGGCCAGGTACAGAAGATGGTTGGAGAAGTACATAATGTAGATGCACAAGTGCCCAAGAGTTGGCCACAACAACAAGCAGGTGGAATGGGCTGCCAAAATTAAAGTGTCTGAGATGGATCTTGACTGGCAATGATGAATTATTTCTGGCTCACTGAGCCCATGACACCTCAGGTCATCAGGGAAGAGATGCAACAAACACATGTGTTCTTGATTGAGGGGTGGACCTAATGATGGACATTATCTTCCAGATTATCCTCAACTGGGAAATGTGCGCTGCAATCAAGCAGGCCAACAGGGTAAAACCTCTGTGTATGGGGAACCATGGTTGAAATATAAATACGGGGATGTCTGGCAAAGTGCTTGCATCACACTCCTGCAAACCCACCAAGGCAATTGCTACATTCAAGCAACCACTGGATGGCTGGAGACCTACTCTGTGCCTCACACCACTGACAAGACCACCATCTTGGGCCTTGAAAAGCAAGTTTTATGGCAATGTGGCATCCCAGAAAGAAATGAGTCAGACAATGGGACTCATGCTAAAAATGGCCTCATAGACAGCTGGGCCAGAGAACACAGTATTATTGAGTGGGTGTATCATATTGTCTCTCATGCACCAGCCTCTGGGAATATCAAAGCTTCCACATATCAGAGAAGGGGATAAAGTCTCCATGGTGCATATGAGGAATATAGGTTAGAGTAGACAGTTTGGATTAGTCCTGCCTCAAGCAAAGGGAAAGCCATACATGGGATTGTTTTTGGTGAAGGACCTGGGTGCACATGGTGGGTTATGCAGAGGGATGGGGAAATGCAATTTGTTCCTCAAGGGGATTTGATTTTTTTGTAAGAACAGTCTGTAATGTTGAATTGTGTAGTATCGGTTGCTGAATGACACTGCTACTGTATGCCATAACTACCATGGACAACGAGCATGGACTGCCTCAGATACACCAGTCAAGATCTCCTGATGCAGCTTGCAACCACCCAACAGCACACCAGCCCTCCTGCCCTGGAAGACACCAAGGACAGACAGAACCCACAGTCATGGACTAAACAAACTCAACAGACCGCTTGGAGGGATGGCCATTGACTATAGAAATCATATTCGTGCATTTTTATTTATGTAGAGATGTGTATATATACATAGTTGGAAGGTGTCAGATCTGAGTATGACGTAGATGGTACAGAATCAGGAATGGATAATGTCCTGGTTTCGGCCAAGACAGAGTTAATTTTTGCAGCAGCAGTAGGGGCACCTGTATTCTACACCACCTTGTGTCTCTGCTGGGGGCAGGGGAAGAGGATCTCTTTTGGTTGGGGTAGCATGGCAGTGGTTCATGTTTTACATGGCTCTGTGTGGTGAGTTTCTGTGCATGAATCATTTGCCCCTTTCTTGTACACTGTTGTTAGTATTGTTGCTGTTACTGTTCCTTTTCTGATTGCATTGCTGTAAATTGTTCTTATGTCAAACCTTGCATTCAGTTCTCCTCTCTAGCTCACTGCAGGTGCTAGGGGGAAGGGGAAGTGGGAGTGAGGGAGCAACACAAGGTTTGGAGTGATTCAGTGGGAACACTAAATTGGGGAATACCATTCCTAAACCACGACAATCCTACTTGTTTTTACATGAAATGGATGAAGAAGATAAGCAGCATATCATCAGCTCTGGTAGGTAAGAGATTGCAAATCTCTAATTCGAGCTGGTCTGTGTGGAATTTTGTGGTAACTGAATTAGGGTAGACAGGGCTTACAGTTTTTCCAACAGCTTACAGTTGCTCACATGTACAGCAGGGAATATTACATGTGAAACCTTTTCTCAAAAGTGCTAGGCAGTAGAAAGCATATAATTTCCAACATCAAAGTACTTCCTTCAGCACACTGTATTTATTTCTGCCTACTCCTTCCTATGGGATAAAAGTGGCCAGACTAGAAGATTACTGCTTCTCTGCTCCCCTAAATACCACCAAAATTATGCCATGACTGTATAAAAGCAACAAAGGAGCAGGTAAGTGTCCAGTATTTATGTGTTAAGACTTCCTTTACCCTTAAAATAGCAGATGTATGTTGAAGACAGAACTGCTAATGATAAACTAGACTTTGAGAAGGACATTTATGTGGGGTTACCCACTCTTTTGGGGTATCAGGAACTGCCTTTCAGCAGTTCACTCAGATGTACTAAGAAGACTGGTGGAGTGGCACAGTTACAGACTTGTGGTTCAAATGTTGGGGTGGTTTTTTTTTGCCTTGATGATCTTTACATTTCTATCACAGTGAGGATCCCAGTAGGCACAGTAGTAAGTAGCAGCATCATCTGGAATTACATCTCTTATTGTAAGAACACACCTCTTCTGGACAGAACTTCTTTCAACCATGTATCTGTTTTCTTGAAAGCCACTTCCAGTGGTAACTTTGTCTCTTATAAAAAATAGAAGCCTCTCTGGAGCTTCACCCTCCTTCTGCTTATACCAGTGTATGACGATGTCATCAAAATTTGTCTCTAATATTTGAATTTCACATGTCATCCGTGCACTTTTTTGGAACTTGGTGATGGATATAGGACTCTGGATGGGAATTTCCTGTGCAAATCCATCTAGGAAAGAGAAAAAGACAAATTATGTAATTAGCTGTAATTCAGGGATTTGGAAAGATGCCTGTTATGGATGCAAAGCCATGGGTGTCTGTGAGAAAAGGCAGGAAAAGAAGGAAGTACTTACAAGACCAGGAGGCTGTGGCCACAAGCACTACCATCAGCAGCATGTTTGCTTGTCAGGCTTTGCTCTCATTGAGATTCAAAGGACGATGAAAGGGACTCCAAATGGGAACCGTGTTGTATGGAAGGAGGAAGTGGCTCTCTTGAATGGTCTTCAATGATGAACCTTCTGTGTGCAAGAAGATGGGGTGTTTTTGCAAAAAACCCTCTCCGGGCTGCCAAATATTAAAATTAGTAAAGAGGCTGTAGTCCTGTCTGCTTTTCAAGTAAATATGGGAAATATTGATAAAATACAAGGATTGTGGCCCTATAAAATTCAGTCAAAGTGACTGAGAAAAGGTTGCCACCAAGAGCACGTCCAGATATGTATGATGGAGTGAAGGTTTCAGGCTGGAGGTTACCCTGGTGGGCAGTGAGTGCATACCTTACCTGAGGGGTGCAGAGGGGTGCACAGTGTCAGAGCAGGAGAGGAGTGCCTTTGCTGCTTCAGCCTAGTCACCTAGATGCAAGGTGCAGAAGTGCCCAGGGTGCCCCTGTGCTGGTACTGCCCTCCACCAAAGCTGAAGACTATCAACCTGCAGTGACTGCAGTGACTGCAGAAGCTCGACTGTTGGGACTTGCCTTTGCTTTGGTTTAGGGTGTGGGAGGAAATGCACAGCTGCAGGATTTCAGTTTCATAGTTTAGCTGAGATGCAAACACTTCTTGGAATAAAGGCTGGAAAATAAAAGAGAACAGCTGTTGTCAACAGCCACTGCAGAGACATCTTGATGAGTGGGTTTGATGCTTTGGGGTCTCCCCTGTGACTGGTGAGCCCAGGCTGTTGGTCGATGGCAGTGAAGATGAGTTGCTTCATTCTCCCTCCTGCTGGCAGCTGACCACATGCAGCACACTGGTGGCAATCATGTTCCTACGTGGTTTGGAAAGGTGCATGTGAACGCAGAGCTCTGAGGAGGGTCAGGCAAGGAGAGACAACTGCCTCTGTGTGGTGGCAATAGAAATAATCCCCCTCTTCCCCGTAAATAAATGTGGGAAGGCCTGTTAATTTTCCATCAGGCCACCCTGAGATGAAGGGAGGGAGAGTCAAGGAAGAGATCACATACCCCAGTAGTATCCTGCATGGGCAACTATAACTAATCATAGCGAAAACTGCATTGCCTATGTTGAGGACCTGAAATCAAGCTTCTGTTGCCAAAAGCTACCATATATGAAACAGCAGCAGTACATTGCTATTCTTCTGATCACAAAACAGAAATCTGTCAGGCACCTGATTCCAAATGAAGAGTAAAGGAATATGTCAGTGACTGGATCGCATATGATTAAATGTCTAATTTGCAGACACTGTCCAGGTTTTGTACAGTAAGCAAGTCTCCAAGTAGGAATAATTACTGGCCAAACATGATAGTGTCTATGCCAAGAAGACACATGCAGTGGCTGGAATATTGTTTTACAAAAGACCTTTCCATGTTCAAATTATTACTATGTAGACTTTTTCACTGATGAAATGGCCAAAATCTATTCTGCAAAGAGTTTTGTTATCTAAAGTTATCTAAATCACTCCCTCCTTGTACATCACTGATGACTAATCCTGATCACCTTCTTCACCTTCCTGTCTGTAAATGGTTTCCAGGAGTAGATGGTTTCCATCACCTTCCCAGACTAAGAGAGGGCTAACCTGACTGTAGTTCCCTAGGTCTTCCTTTTCCTCTTCCTTGAAAATAAGAGTGACTTCTTGAAAATAAGAGTGATTTGACTTCTTCTAGTCTCCAGGGACCTGTGCCGATTGTTGTGACCTTCCAAAGGTAAGTAAGTGTCTTTGCAAAGACATTGGCCAGGTACCTCAGCACTTGTGGGTACATTCCATCAGGCACCATGGACTTAGGTGTGTGCAGTTTAAGTGCTCACTAGCCTGATCCTCCTCCACCAAAGGCTATGTCGTTCTTGCTCCAAACTTTCCATCTGGTCTCAGGGGACTGGGATACCAGAAGACCATTTTATGGGTAAATGCTGAGGCAAAGGAAATACTGAGTACCTCAGGTTTTTTCATGTCATACACCACCAGTTTCCCTGCCCCATCCAGCAGCTTTTCCTAGCGTTTCTTTTGCTGCTGCTGTGTTTGTAGAATCCTTTCTTGTTCCCCTTTACCTCATTTGCCAAATTCAATTCTAGCTGGTTTACTGCTTTCTTAAGCCCATTCCTGAACAGTTGAACAGCAGTTCCATACTCCTCCTGGATCACTTACCCCTGATTCCACCTCTTTTATACTTCATTTTAATGCCTGATTAAAGTCAGCAGCTTTTTGCTCACTCTTGGGATACTCCTGCTGCCTCTCCCTGGTTTTCTAGGTGTCAGACTGGACCTTTCTTGAACTTGGAGAAGATTCTTGGATATCAGCTAGCATTCCTGGACATTTCTCTCCAGGGTTTTATTCAATGTGATGCCTCCAAGCAGATCTCTGAAGAACTTTAAAGTCTGCTCCCCTGAAGTCCAGGGCTGAGGTCCTGCCTTTTGCCCTTCTGCCTTCTCTCAGGAGTCTGAACACCACTGGCTCATAGACACTGCAGCCAAGGCTGCCCTTACCTTTCCATCCACAACAAGGTCCTTATTGGCTGCCCAATCACCCACATCAGGAAGTTGCTGCCAACTCACTCCTGAAACTTCCTAGACTGGTTGTGAGAAATTCTCATATCCCACAATGCAACAACAAAAGGCAGGCTGACTGAAGTTAATATCAGAGGTCACATGTACTACAACCTATTTTTCAAATAGTTGAGAAAGACAGAAACATCCATAGCAAGATATTAGATACTCAAATCACATAGAAACTTTAGCAAAAAATGTTCAGAGCCTGTAGAACTATAAATCCATCACTGTGGAGGTATTTGTGCTCATTTTTAGAAGATACTGAACACATGCACTCCAATTCAGAAAATGTAATAATATCTCAGTGTTTTGACACTTTTGAGCTTTCAGGAAAACACCAGCTTTCCTGGAACCAGTCTTTGATTGTAGAATCTGATTTCTAAAACTCAGTACACTTAACCCAAAGGCACTGAGAGTCTTTGCTTGTCAGCGGCATAGCTCGTGGCTGAGGATTTCAATTTATGTCTTGGGCATATCAGATGAGGAATTGCGACAATAAAATTAGGTTTTCTGTGCTGTTGTAGGACTTTTTAGTGACTAAGATGCAAAGGAAGGCAAAATAAAAATATGAAGGAGGATGTGCAAGATCAACTGGTCTTCCTCCCGTCTTTCCTATTCCTGTTTTTTTTTTTTCCAAGAGAAAATACTGAGGGATGAAAAAATGTAGCTCTGCTTGCTAGAATTCTAACAGAGAAGAGAAATCTATAACTCACACACAGAGACTTTGTTCAGTGTCAGGTGAGTGCTTTCAGTAAAATCTAGCCTTCATTTTAGGAGCAATGTTTCATATATTTATCTTAAAGTGACAAGAAGGTTTCACTTTCTGGATGTTGCAGATAAATCTGAGCACTGAAATGGTATATTGATTGTCAAGATCAGATATTTAACACTTGTCATAAGATGTTGTTTTTCCTCTCCTGCTACAGAAAATCATGAAAGGGGTGGAATAAGGAAGTATTTGAGTTTTTGGCAGAGTTCACAACTTGCGGTTCAGAGTAGTGAGAGTCTTTTTGTAAGGCTTACCTTTGCCAAACTAATTCTGTGGTATGTCCAGTATGTCCAGTATGCACAGTAATAAATGCCAGAATCGCTTGGGGTTAAAGAATTTATCTCTATATTATACATGGATCGAGCAGGATTATTCTGAACTTGAAATCTATTTCTATCATTGATGTCCTCAAAAACAGGTGTCCCTGCAGACACGTACAGGATCCTCTTTGGCGGCTCTCCGGGAAGCTGCCTGTACCAGTGTACAATGTGGTTGCCCTCCAGCTGACATGACATTCTGGCAGAAGTGCCCTTCATCTGCGTCTGCATCTCCGGGGTTTGCACTGGCACTGACTGCGTGTCCACACCTGGAAGTGAAAGCAGAGGAATTGCATGAGGGGAGAAACTCCTGGAGTTTGCAAGAAGGCATATGTTCACTGTAGACAGGAAGGAGAGAGAAGAGAAAAAAGGTCTTACAGGACCAAAACGAAGTTGCAAGAAGGACTGGAAACAGCAGCATTTTGCCGGTGCAGATTAGACCTGAAAATGAAATGAACAGAAATGTTATAAAGCCCTTCAGGTAGACACAGCACCAAATGACTGGGAGGAGGAAATTACTCATTCAGCACATCCAATGGTTGTTCTTCAACACACTACCACAGAGGGTGTCAAATTTACTGACAAGCTAAACCGTGGCAGGAGTAGCATAGAAAGGACAAAAAATACTCGATCTGAAAAAACTTCTTCATCTATCTACTACTAGACTTATATCAGACTTACCTACTGAGCACACTCAAGTTTTTCAGCCTGGCCCTTCCCAAGGATGTTGTCCTCTCCTCAGAGACCTCAAAGCTGTCTCAGAAGAATGTTCCACCTTTCTTAGAACTTCAGAAAATCATTGAATAATAGAATGCTTTGGGTTGGGAGGGCCTGTAAAGATCATCACCCTCTCACCTCCACCCCATGTGCAGGAATGTCACCTTCTAGGTGAGGTTGCTCAGGGCCCCATCCAACCTGGCCTTGAGCACATCACAAGGGATGGAGCATCTAGATCTTCTCTGGGTAGTCTGTTCTAGTGCCTCATGACTCTCAGAGTAAAGAATTTCTCCCTAACATCTACCTGTAAGTTCTATCAGCTTAAAACTCTCCCCTCTTCTTCTATCACCATCTACCTATATAAAGATTTGTTTTTCATAAGTGCTCTTTAGATACTGGAAGCCTTCAATAAGTTCTCGCCTAAGTATTTTTGTGTCCAGGTAGAACAGCCCCAACTAAGCCTTAACTAGGTCTGTCACTAGTAGTGTCTGCCAAGGTTCACAATACGGAGTCCATTATTGTTTAACTTGTTCATCAATGGTCTGGGGGAAGGGGCAGATGCCTCCTCAGGTCACTGATAGCATGAAGCTGGTGATAGCATGAGTGGCTGATACCCCAGAGGGCTGCGCAGCCCTTCAGAGGGATCTTGACAGGATGGGGAGATGGTCGGGCTGCTTCCCACCTGAGGGCATCTGCCTGCAACAGTGTGGAAAATGGTCAGAACTGTACAGTGTTGCTTCAAGTAGGCGTGGAATTTATGCGGCTGGTTGAGGATAACATGAGCTGGGCTCTGTGCTGCCCTTACAGCTGGCTCGAGCAAGGTCTCACAACCAAGGAATGCCTGGGGCGAAGTGGAGGTCTCACAGCCCTGTGTTGTTTCAGTGAGACACAGAGAAGCACCTGTGCCTAACTACCACCCCTTGTCCTCACCCTCCCTTCGCCCTGAAAGGTGAGCTGTGATGTAAATCTGGTCTGACGAGAAAAAAAGGCACACAGAACCTCTCTGGAAAAGATCAGACAACAAAGGATGCCTCAGACATTGGAGAGGGACCAAACTTTTTATTTTACCTTTTATGTTAATAAATTCTGACCAAAAGTAAGTGAAACTCTAACTGACATATTTAACTTTCATGCTCATTGGAATGCAAATGAGGAAGAACATGTAATATATGTATGACCAAAGTTATCAAACCCCATCTACAGCATGTGATTGTTCCATCTCATTGGAAAGGGCCAAAAATTTATAGTATAAAAGGGGGGCTTTGGGGCAGTGTTGGGGGTTGAGTTTTCCTTTCTTTTCTTTCCTTGTTACTTGTGGATTTTTTTTTCCCCCATGGAGTTGCTAAGAAGCATTGATAGCTGGGTGTTTGAGAGGTGGGGAGGGGGAACGCCTCTGGATTTTTTGGGAGTTTCTCTTGGAGGGACAGGGATACCGCAAGAATAGAGGCAGGTAAAAGGACAGGGGTTGGGGCAGCTGGGAACTCTCTCTCGCTCTGTGTTTTGGAGGAGGATGGTTGGACCTGCAGCTTGGGAAAAGGAACTCTCTGCCACTGCCATAACCCAGCCAGGAGCTGCCTTTCTTCTGCTGCTGGGCCCCGCGCCCCGTGTCCTGCCGGGACACCCCGCAGTTTCCAGCTACCGCTGCAGCGTTCCTGCTACATTCTCGCCCACCACCGCAAGATTTCTGCTCATTGCTGTCATCCCCGCTTGCTGCTGCCAAGATTCCTGCCGGGGCACCGGGATGGACTTCCCCAGGGGTTCCTGAACCGAGCCTGTCCCACGTCCAGCCGCGGGAGCAGCGCGCCCGCCCGGCCCACCGGGAGCCAACGGCGCCCCCTGCCGGCCGCGGCTGTCACTGCACCGCAGGAACGTCCCGGCGGCCGGGAAGGGCCCCCGGGCTCCCGGCTCGGTTTGTTATCCATGATGCGGTTGTTGCTTTGTTTGCCTTGTTATGCATACTAGTAAAAAACTGTTTATTCCTATTCCCATATCTTTGCCTCAGAGCCCCTTAGTTCCAAAATTATAATAATTTGGAGGGAGGGGGTTTCCATTCTCCATTCCAAGGGAGGCTCCTGCCTTCCCTAGCAGACACCTGTCCTTCAAATCAAGAGGTGGAGGGGCAGAAAAAAGTTTTGTCTGCTTCAGATTGGTTGATGGACTGTGTCTCTCCTTCTCTCCTCAGGGGAAGGATTTTGGTTAGCTTTGCACCTCCAACTGCATAGGAGCAGGCCTAGGAATACTTAATTTTATTTGTCTATCTGTGTATCTTAGAAAAAACAGGCAACTGTTAATTTCATTGTGAATCAAGAATTACAGATACAGAAAATGCTGTGTAGACATTTGACTGCACTGACTAGCCATGACACATTTCTTTTGAAGATCTTTGCATTTCTGTTGCATGAAATAAGGAGCTCCTCTGGCAGTAGTGTCTTGCCAGCAGTGAGGTGGTTGGACCTTTGTGCAATGCCTGCCTTCCTTGATAATGTAGTTGTAGCACCAAATAGGAAAAATACAGATGGTGGATCTATTACAAGACAGCCTCAGTGGCTGTGGCAAAACCAGAGTGAAACATGCATTCCTACCAGACAGTTATTTGCTGCCCCTTGCTTTTTCTTGTACTTTCCCTGATTTCAAAGGCTAAAAATGTGCCCTGCAAAGACTTTATAGCAAATGGACCCTTGGGCAGCAGCCATCATACATCATGCTCTTCCCTGAGAAAAAAATTCACATTTTCTGACCCAAAAGAGAGAATTATCTGGACATTTTTTAGGCCTTTGTCAATAGCACTGTACACAAATAAATCTCATGTTACAACTCATACAGAAAGTTAATGTTCTCCTGTTCTCCTTGTGATAAATACATGAGTTTGTGTCAGGTCCTGTAGTGCAGATAGATTTACAATGAAAGAACAAAAAAAGAACTTACATGGATAGGGGGTTCTGAATACCCTTGCCACATGAATTTCACTGCAGCTCTCCTCAGAGCTGACTGATCAGTGCTGTACCATCATTTTTATATGTTCCCAGGTTTAATCTGCAGCTTGTCCTTGTAAATGGTCTTCACAATTCTTTCTTGAAATAGTCTTTGCAGCTGTTGCCGAGTGTAATATCCTTGCCTAAAAAGTCATTGTTATCATAACCATTAAGCTGGAAGATACTACTGATAAGTATCTTCACCATCACCTGTATTTGAAAACTTTCAGGTTAGATCTTAAGTGCAAATATCCTTCTCCTATGCTCCCTCCCCAGTATTTCTTCATTTTTGCTTTCTCAGACTGTATTTGGGAAAGTACCTGTATTGTTCAGAGATGCTCTGTGTTGCTATATAATTTAGCTGCAATGCCATCACCCACAAGAGTGCTCATTTTCTCCAGCACAGAGCAGTATACCACCTAAGTTGTAGCACATCTTTACTTTTCTCTTTGTCTGATATTCATGTAAACATACTCAGCATAAACATGTTGGGGTGTTTTAGAGGTAGGAAAGTACAATTATAATTATCTGTGTTTGACAGAAAGCCTGCCACTCAGGACACAGGCAGCTTTCTATACAAGCTGCCTGTCACCTTTTAGTTATGTGGAAATGCCAGTAGGCACAGTAGTAAGTACCTACATCATTGGAGTTAATGTCATTGATTGTGAAAGTCCAGACGTTTGTACCTTTCTTTGAAGAAGAATACTTGTTGCTATAGGAATTTTAATCATAACAAACTGCACTGAGTCCAATATACAGAATCCATTCTGGAGCTTTGGTGAGTTTGTGTTGGTACCAATGTATATATGCATGCTGAAGTCAGGAATACCCTCAGCTGTACAGTCCATTGATGCAGTTGTCTTGTGCCCTCTGGTAATGGATACTTCTCTCTGCTTCAGAAGCACATGTGCTTGTCCATCTAGAAAGAAAGAGAGAAAACAGAACAAATACTCTTAGCTTGCTATTCATTCAAACACATAACATGGGATGCTTCCTTCCACTGCCCTGTGTCATGGTGACAAAGGGAACCCATGAGACCAGGCTGCAGCCAGGGCCAGGAGAGGAAGCAGCAGCATCCTGAATGCTTTGTCTTGTGTCTGCCCTCAGGAGGAAGTTTACAGCACTCCTAGCAGGGGCAGAGTGCAGCAGCTGAGGAAAGGAAATTACTCACTTGGGCCTTTGGAGAGGTTGTCCTGGCAGGTGTTGTCTGAGATAAAGCAGCTTGGTTGAACCCTGCTAAATTAACACTGAGATTATAGCTTTACACAAACGGCCCAAACCCCTCCCTCCCATCACCTTAACTCATGTACAAAGTAATCTTGTAGTCTGAAGCAAATTTTACCACTGCTTTTAGGCTAGTTAAAAGCTTCTAAACAATGCCTGGACTTTTCCTTGGTCTTTTGGACCAAGGAAATAGACTTTTCCTCAGGTTGGCTACCAATTAAACATAAACAAAACTCAAATAATGGAGCTAAATGGAGTGGTATGAAATTACTGCTCATGACACAGATCAGATACTGAAGACCAGGAAAATACACAGCAGACATTTGGAAGCTCAAAAGCAGGATTGTTGAGTTTGTGACTGTTTCTTGTCACAGGTAAGGTGAGATGCTACACCTCAGAGTGACTTCTCCAGATGCTGGAAAGAATCACAATACAAATAAATGCAAATGCTCTACAGCCCCCATAGCTTAGTTTAAAATAAAGACAATTAGGTAAAGTAAAATATAGA